CCTGGGAGTGTTTGATGAGGGGACAGTGTAGAGGGAGCTTTACTCTGTATCTAATCCTGTGCTGTCTCTGCCTGGGAGTGTTTGACGGGTGACAGTGTAGAGGGGTCTTTACTCTGTATCTAAGCCTGTGCTGTCCCTGTCCCTGGGAGTGTTTGATGAGGGACAGTGTAGAGAGAGCTTTACTCTGTATCTAACCCCATACTGTCCCTGTCCTGGGAGTGTTTGACAGGGAGAGTGTAGAAGGAGCTTGACTTTCAGAAAGAGTATGCTGAATCTTTGCTTTTGATTCAGGGTGTTTGGGGCTACCGTTCCTGGAAGCCCATACTCACACAAACAGGAAGAGAAATCCTGATCTCTCTCCTCCAGGCTGGGGATGGGGTTAAACAGAAAAGTTCAGGCCCAAGATTGAAGTAATTCTGTTGGATATGGAAAGGTTTGAGGGTTGAAACAGAGTCGGCAACGTGGAATGAAGATACTGAGCAGCCAGAATGTAATTGAATGGTGGGATAGTTTCTAAAAGGGGCTGAATGGCCTCTTCCTATTCTGTGAGCTGCTCCCTTTTGATATCCTGGTTTGCAGTAATTGCTCCCAAGCATCTGTTGTTCAATTCCACACCAATGCAGTGAACCATGGTAACCTGTGGAGATATTTTTGCGTGAAAATTAAATTTACGGCGTAGATCGGGAAGCCAGTCTGATTGGGAACGACTGGTGCTGCTCTCTGTTGCTAACTGGTTTCTCTCCATTCAGCTTATTCACAGCATTTGGATACTGAGATGGGCCATTCCAACTACCTGGCTACAGATTACACACAGACCCTCACACCTACTTCTCCGCGCAGATACTCCCCGATTCCCAAAGGTCTGATGGGAGAAGACGACATTCCCAGGTCAGCTCATTTCTATTCTCTGGGGCCAGTCTCTGTGTTTGGGCATCTTCCAGCTGCCCTCGTCTCTCTGTCTCTGGGACCCCTCGGTTCAGGGCTCTGTGTCTGTGACCCCCACATGGTGGTGGGTTGGAAACATTAACACTGACCTGTTGAGGTTGAGTGTTTGTTGTGGAACGTGGGCACTGTGATAACAGCTTCTGTGTTCAGCCGCTGTGTTTGAACCGTCTCTCTCTGACAGGGAGCCCCGGAGGGTGATTATACACCGTGGATCGACAGGCCTCGGATTTAATATTGTCGGTGGTGAGGATGGAGAAGGGATCTTCATCTCCTTCATCCTAGCGGGTGGTCCAGCAGACCTCAGCGGTGAGCTCAGGAAAGGAGACCAAATCCTCTCAGTAAGTGGTGATTGCGCTGTGCTAACCCTGACCTCTCTCTCGAATTTGTTCATGGGGTGAGGGCGTCGCTGACTGGGCCCAGCATTTATTGCCCCGTCCCTAGTTGCCCCCCCTTGAGAAGGTGGGGGTGAGCTGCCTTCTTGAACCGCTGCAGTCCATGTGCTGTGGGTTGACCCACAATGTCCCTCAGGGAGGGAATTCCAGGAATTCTGACCCAGTGACACTGAAGGAACGGGGATATATTTCCAAGTCAGAATGATGAGGGGCTCGGAGGGGGTGGTGTTCCCATCTACCTGCTTCCCCTTGTCAATCTGGATGGAAGTGGTCGTGGGTTTGGAAGGTGCTGTGTGAGGATCTTTGGTGAATTTCTGCAGCCCATCTTGTAGCTGGTACACACTGCTGTTGCTGAGCGTCGGTGGTGGAGGGTGTGGATAATATTTATCTGTGGATAGGGCAGAGGCAGAGGTGGAATGGGCCTTCGATGACACAAAGATAAAATAGTGTCAACATTTTTAAGTATCATTGCCCTGAAACATACATTCAGCCTAGATTCTGTTCAATTCTGGGCCCCACACATTTGGAAGAACTTGGAGGCCCTTTGAGAGGGATCGGAGGGAGGTTTACTCAAACAGTGTTGGGTGAACGTGGAGAGTCTGGGATATTTGCCCCCTGTCCCCAGAGCAGAGAAGGTTAAGGGGGCAGACTGAATTGAGACGTTTGTTCATCATGAAGGGTTTGGACAGAGTGAATCAGAGGAAGTTGTAAATACTCAAATCTCCTCCCCATGGGCGGCACGGTGGCTCAGTGGTTAGCACTGCTGTCTCACAGCTCCAAGGCCCTGGGTTCGATCCCACCCTCGGGCAACTGTCTGTGTGGAGTTTTCACATTCTCCCCGTGTCTGTGTGGGTTTCCTCCCACAGTCCAAAGATGTGCAGGTTAGGGTGGGTTAGCCATGGGAAATGCAGGGTTATAGGTTGGATCTGGTTGCAGTGCTCTTCATAGGGTAGGTGTGGACTTGATAGGTGGAAGGGCCTGCTTCCACATTGTAGGGATTCTGTGGCATGTGATTTATGAAGCTAGCCAGAGACTCCCCATAATGCAAATTCCTGCATATGATGAAACTGGAATCATACTGAACTTGACCAAGGCATGGAGATCATAGAATCCCCACAGTGTGGAAGCAGGCCATTCGGCCTGTTAAGTCCAAACTGACCTTCCTAAGAGCATGCCACAGAGACCTGACCTCTCTACCCTATCCCTGTAACTGTGCATTTCCCATGTCCAATCCACCCTAACCTGCACATCTTTGGACTGTAGGAGGGAACCGGAGCACCCGGAGGTAGACACACGGAGCATGTGCAAATTCCACACAGACAGCCGCCCGAGGGTGGGATCGAACCTGGGTCCCTAGCACTGTGAGGCAGCAGTGCTAACCACTGAGCCACCATGATGATTGTGTTCCCTTCACTTATGGCAGCGCCTCTCAGAGAGGAGGAGACGGAGTTAACTCATAGATCACCCAGTGATGGAACTGAATGTGGAAGCAGATTGAAGAGGTTGCATGGCCTCTGATTGGTCACTGGTGAACCAATCAGGAAGGGGGGTATCTGAGTAATCATGATCTTTATGATCTGGTGCAGGTGAACGGAGTGGATTTACGGAATGCAACTCACGAGCAAGCAGCAGCTGCCCTGAAGAATGCTGGACAAACCGTTACCATCATCGCTCAGTACAAACCCGAGGGTAGGTGCCTCAGTACGGACCACAGGGTAGGTTTCTCAGTACAGACCCGAGGGTAGGTGGCTCCGTCCATGCTCACTGACACTCTTAAGGGCTTTCCATTCTGCTGGCTTACTGTCGGAGGGTCAGTGCTGAGGGAGTGGGCACTGTCGGAGGGTCAGTGCTGAGGGAGCGCCGCACTGTCGGGGCGTCAGTGCTGAGGGAGCGGGCACTGTCGGAGGGTCAGTGCTGAGGGAATGCCGCACTGTCGGAGGGTCAGCGCTGAGGGCGTGCCGCACTGTCGGAGGGTCAATATGGAAGGAGAGTCATTGAGCTGTACAGCACAGAAACAGGCCCTTCGGCCCAACCCGTGCATACATTCTAAATTAATCTAGTCCCACTTGCCAGCATTTGGCCCATGTCCCTCTAAACCCTTCCTATTCATGTCCCCATCCAGATGCCTTTTAAATGTTGTAATTGTACCAGCCTCCACCACTTCCTCTGGCAGCTCGTTCCATACACGCACCACCCTCTGTGTGAAAAAGTTGCCCCTTTTAAATCTTTCCCCTCTCACCTTAAACCTATGCCCCTCTAGTTTTGGATTCACCCTATCCATGCCCCTCATGATTTTATAAACCTCTATAAGGTCACCCCTCAGCCTCCGACACTCCAGGGAAAATAGCCCCAGCCTATTCAGCCTCTCCCTGTAGCTCAAACCCTCCAACTCCGGCAATATCCTTGTAAATCTTTTCTGAACCCTTTCTGGTTTCACAACATCCTTCCTATAGCAGGGAGACCAGAATCGCACACAGTATTCCAAAAGTGGCCTCAGCAATGTCCTGTACAGCGGCAACATGACCCTCCCAACTCCTATACTCAATGCACTGACCAATAAAGGCAAGCGTACCAAACACCTTCTTCCCTATCGTGCCTACCTGCAACTCACTTTCAAGGAACAATGAACCTGCACCCCAAGGTCTCTTTGCTCAGCAACACTCCCCAGGACCTTACCATTAAGTGTATAAGTCCTGCCCTGATTTGCCTTTCCAAAATGCAGCACTTCACGTTTATCTAAATTAAACTCCATCTGCCACCCCTCAGCCCATTGGATCAACAAGGAGGCATAGGCCTAGTGGTATTGTCGCTGGGCTGTTAATCGAGAGACCCAGAAAATGTTCCGTGTTCGAATCCTGCCACGGCAGATGGTGGAATTTGAATTCAATAAAAAATCTGGAATTAAGAATCTAATGAGGACCATGAATCATTGTTGATTGTCAGGAAAAACCCAATGTCCTAATGTCCTTTAGGGAAGGAAACTGCCATCCTTACCTGGTCTGGCCTACATGTGACTCCAGACCCACAGCAATGTGGTTGACTCTTAACTGCCCTCCGGGCAATTAGGGATGGGCAATAAATGCTGCCTGGCCAGCGATGCCCTCATCCCGTTAATGAATAAAGAATCTGATCACAGTCCCGTTGTACTCAGAGGTAACCTTCTTCGCCGTCGACTACATCTCCAATTTTAGTGTCATCTGCAAACTTACTAACCATATGTTCACATCCACATCATTTCTATAAGTGACGAATAGTAGTGAACCCAGCACTGATCCCTTATGACACACCAGTGGTCACAGGCCTCGAGTATGAACAGCAACCCTCCGCTAAGGGTTTTATTTTTGTTGCTGGGTAAGAGTGACGGGTTGGTTTGTCCTGTTGTGTTTCCCCAGAGTACAGTCGCTTCGAGGCAAAGATCCACGACCTACGGGAACAGCTGATGAACAGCAGTATCGGATCAGGGACCAGCTCTCTGAGGAGTAACCACAAACGCGTGTTTTATATCAGGTGACCAGTCACATGCTGCGCCAATGACCCACTGTCCCAATGGGGATGGGGGTCCCTGGGCAGGACGACCCACTGTCCCAATGCAGGGGGAGGGTGTCCCTGGGCAGGACGACCCACTGTCCCAATGGGGATGGGGGTCCCTGGACAGGACGACACACTGTCCCAATGCAGGAGGAGGGCGTCCCTGGGCAGGACGACCCACTGTCCCAATGCAGGGGGAGGGCGTCCCTGGGCAGGACGACCCACTGTCCCAATGGGGATGGGGGTCCCTGGGCAGGACGACCCACTGTCCCAATGCAGGGGGAGGGTGTCCCTGGGCAGGACGACCCACTGTCCCAATGCAGGGGGAGGGTGTCCCTGGGCAGGACGACCCACTGTCCCAATGGGGATGGGTGTCCCTGGGCAGGACGACCCACTGTCCCAATGCAGGGGGAGGG